TTTTATGAAGTCGCTACCAATATTTTTACCATAAACATTGGAAAAGGGTAAAAAGACATTGATTTTAAAAAAAAAACCAAACTTGGTCATTATAACCAAAGTCGAGTAAGGGAGTTAGTTACGTGTGGGGAAGGTATTAACACTCCCACGACGCCTCTTATAGGTTCCTTATGACGGATTAATTCATAAAATAAAGATTATAAGAGATTACGTTATTACCCTATTTTATTACCTGATACTAGAATGATTATCTACATGATCCTATTCCTATTGCACATAGAAAAGTAATAAATAAAGCAATAAAAGAGAAGAGTAGGAAAAAAACCTCTGAAGCAAGCTTTTATAGAAATCTTTAACTCTGAGGATGCTTTTTGGTTATCCCCTCGCACTACAGGAACTCTCCTCTCCCGAATACAAGAAAAGCTTTAAACTATCGAATGCCAGATATCTCAAAAAGAGATTTCCTTAACCGATTGTTACCTTATAGGCAATCAGAAAACTCATTCGAGTACTAGAAGTATATAGAAGAGTAGAGAGAAGTGAATCTAAGTTTAGGTGTGTCCAAAAGCTGCAAATGAGATCCCTATTTATAGTTTTGCGGTGTCAGGACGCTGGGACGGTTGTCCCAACTTCTGTCAGGTGGGACGACCGTCTGAACATTTGGGATGGTCGTCCCAAGGTGCAAAACTAGTTGGGACGGTCGTCTGACATTTGGGACGACTGTCCCGAGGTACAAAACTGGCTAGGACGTGCGTCTGGGTCTTGGGACGTGCGTCTCGGAGCTAAAAATTCACTTGGGACGACCATTCCAAGTATTTCTTCAAATTTTCACTTTTTATTTCTTTAGAAAAACTCTCCTTTCTTTAAACGGAAGTCGGTTGATGCTGTTAGGTGCTCAACAGAGCTTTACCCATCTCCAGAACGAAGGTCTTCTGAACTTTATTGAGAAGTTAGGCAAGATTTGGGGTCTATAGGGATGATTTGCACAAGCGACCTTTTATGTTGTGAAAATGAGAAAGGGGCAAATCATGTTTCAAGGGAGCTGAGAAATTTAGGCCATATGCGAAGCATTTTATTGCGTTCCATCCATTGGAACCAACTGAGTGCATGACCATTCATGTAGAAAGGAAAGAGTTAGAGTCGTTCAACTTCGAAAATTTGATAGTATTCGAAAAATCAGGTTACTGCAAAAACCCAATCCAAAATGTTAGACCCATCGAACTGTGAACAATCTAGGTGAATATAGGGTATGACCAGGGGCGGATCTTCTTGGGAGTTGAGGGGGGCCGTAACCCCCCCCCCCCCCCAAAGTTTTGTAACTCCCATGTAATTTATGATTTTGGCCCCCCAAACTTAATGAACATTTAATATATTTACTTGTATATTTACAATTTTATCCTTCTAGCCCCTCCTTAGTTTTGTAACTCTCATATAATTTATGATTTTGTCCCCCTCAAACTTAATGATCATTTAATATATTTAAGTATATATTTACAATTTTATCCTTTCATCTTCTTACTTCATTTTATATTTATTTATTATTTATTAATAATATATTATTTGGTCCCTCCAAGATCAATGGTCAAAAACCGCCACTGGACATGACTTTAGGTGATGGGGACTGTGTATGTGCGGGTGAAGGGTTTAGTTTGGAGGGTTGCAACATCATGGGAAAGGCCATTAATACACTCGTTGAGGGCTCAATGAGAATATCTATGGAGGCTTGAGAAGCCATTAAAAGCACCAAATGATCGAAGATGTAGAAGAAGAGAAGAATTTGGTATTTCAAGGTACCAACCTCCCGAGAAGACCATTAGGGATAATTCTGAATTATTTTTCCTTCCCTCCTAATGTTTCTTACAATATTAGATATAAGCAATTCTACCCTATAACAGAATTCCACCAAATGCGAAAACAAACACAATTCCTAACAAAAATTATTCTCACTCTGCATAATGCATAATTGTAAAAGAAACTATTTCTTAGTGAATAAACTCATCTCATCCAATTGACCTTAAAGTTTGTCTAGAGTTTTTTCATTTCATAGGTCCATTCACACCAATTGAGTTGTTGGTGTTACTCAACTCTATAGTACCAACATTTGGATAATTGACAGTCAAGTTACTATTTCTATTTCAAATAATCTTATTTTTATGGAAAAACCAAACACTTGAACATTAAGTTATTCTTTCTCCCAGTAGTGGAAAAGGAGGGTATAATTAGGTTGAATTATTGCAAATTTAAATTACATCTTGTTGATATATTTACCAAGTCTTTACCAATAAATAAATTTGAGTTTTTTAAAGCAAAAATTGGAGTGTCCAACAACCAAAACAAGGAGGAGTGTGAAGTTGTACTTCAATTGTTTCTTCATTTATGTTAAAATATCTTAATTGTTTTAGTAATTTTTTTATGTAGTAAAGTTGTTTGACTATTTCTAGTAGTTTCATGTTTTTAGGTTATACTTATCTCATTTTGATCTTCGTACAAGAGAATGTTAACTATAAATTTAAAAAATTTATTTATGAAATTTAGTTAATCAATCATTAAATATATTTATTGAAAAAAAAAATTACCCATTTTCATTATAATTAAAATTGATGTTCTAGTTGAACATTTAATATTACAAAATAAGTTTTAAATATGAGAAATTGTGGTAAACTTAGTTGTTCAAAAAGGAAGAATCCTCATTTTAGAAAAAAGAACTAAAAAGTGATGAGTCAACTAGGGTATGAAAATCTCAAACCCTTATTCTGATCTAATTAAATACTTCATATTATTACTTCAAATTATTAATAAGTGAGATATCTTAATTAATTATGTGATGAATGAAATCCTACGAAGTGAAATTAATATCAATGATTTTATTTTCATAATATACTGGTCAACATTATAAATAATATTCAAGACTGAAAACCAAAATCTATTAAAGATTTTCCAAAAAAAATTATTGACAAAAATAAAACGATATAATTAAAAAGAATTAGATTAACTTAAAAATGAAGGAATTTTGAACTTATCATATACCTAAAGGTGTTATACTAATCATATATATATATATATATATATATATATATATATATATATATATATATATATATATATATATATATATATATATAACTTTCTAAAGAAATTAATTTGCCTAACAATACTAGTTCTATAGAAGGTTTTTTAATGAAGTTAAACAAGTCCTTTGTGGATTAAACTAATCAAGACATGTGTGATATGATCATTCAGGGAATATTTCGTTTAAAAGAAGGAAATAAATTATGTCATTTGTTTCTGTATTTATTTGAAAAGATTCGAAAATTAATTTATTATAAATACTATGTATGTTTGATGACATAAAAATAGTTGGAACTTCTTAAATATTTACTAAGAAAATTAATTATTTAAAGAAAGAATTTTAGGTAAAGGATTTTGGAAAGACAAAATTTTGTTTGGATTATAAAATAAGTATTTAAATAAAAGTATTTTTTCACATTAGGTAGTTATATAACATAGTTACTTTAAAAATTTTATACGAATAATTGATTATGAGTGATGAAATTTTTAGATGGAGTAAAAATTATTTTAAGTCAAAAGATGAAGATTTTCTTAGTTCTAAAATTTTAGTATTATAAGAATACTAATATATTTCATTAACTAAATTATATTGAATTTGATATAAGGTTTGTTTTTAATTTATTAATAATATATAGTTATTCATTTGTTAAATTAAAATAAAACATATGAAAATTATTTCTCAAATTCTCATAATAATTTATTACAAACAAAATATTTGTTGACTGGCAATCTTTTCAAAAATTAACATAATGAATATAAATATAATAACGAATATTATAAAAAGAGGTATAACAAAACATATTCTTCCATTTTTTTTTAGTAATAATGATACAAAAGATTTGTTCATATAGAAATTTAATACATTTATTCCATTCAATTTTCCAATAAAGTTTTAATTCAATCATATTATTATCCGATCATTAAACATTTAAAAGATATATTATGAATTATTATTAATTTTTCATTAATTTTATTATTTTCATAATAATTTATATAATTTTAACACTTATAATCTTAAATTATATCTCTTCTATTATACATTATACTTATAAATAAAATATTTATAATTTCTTCAAGTAAAATATAAAGAATAAATTTTTTATTCTTTTTATCATGGATCATATTTTATAACACTTTTAAAATATTTATATTATTTTTACTAGATTTTAATTTTACTCTCAATGGTTTAATATTTCACAAATCTAGTTTTCTAAAATATTTTTAGCGAATTTTACTTTATAATTTAAAAAAATATTATGAACTTTGTGTCGCGTGGAAACATGTCACGGGAATTTTTTACAACGGATTTTACAACTTTGTGACATTTTTCTACTCGGAACAAATTTTGTGATATTGTAATAAATTGAAGATAATATTTGCAGTTTTTCTTAAAAAGTAACAAAATCGTTAATGTTTAAATTAAAAAGAAAAAGTTAATTAAACCTTGTACGTATCTAGTATCACATAGTGTGGTTTAGGTTAACCGATGGTTATTATTATGGGATAAAATACATGATCAGTGCCACCACCTGTGGGCAAATGTTTTACCTTTTTTGAATGACAACCATTGACCGAAACCAAAACCTATCAACATGCTCCGTTAAAAGAGAAAAAAATAAAATAAAAAAGAGAGAAAAAATTTCATCCTTATCCCCTTGTTGCTAGAAAATCTATGGAGCCATGAAGATCCGTCCCTCAAATTTTCACAGCCAAACTTCCCAGCCTCATGTTCTTTCCCAGTCACTTCACATTCACATTTTTCACAACTCAACAACAACGATAATCTATCACCTCACCAATTAGCAACAACATCAACACAGCATATTCCTCCCAATCTCCTTCAAGCACACACTCTCTCACACACGCATATCCATTCGTTCCTTCTTTCCTTTCACTCTCTCTCGCTCTCGCTCTCTCTCTCTTTCTTTCTCATGGCTTCCATGACCGCTCCAGCCCTCACCTTTCCAAACCAGAAGCTCGCCGTTCCGTTTCCGGCGCGAACGCCCTCGCTCCTCCCCCTCCCTTCCCTATCACCCTGCCGCTGCCTCTCCTCCGACGACCGCAACGGCGCCAAGCGGGGTTGGGACTCCTTGCTGCACCACTTCTCTGAGGTTGCCAAGCGCGTCGATTCCTACTGGAAGTCCTTCGGGAACGCCGGCGAAGATCGTAGCGGCGCCTCTGGCCACGACGAGGATTGGGATTGGAATCGGTGGCGTCGGCATTTCGAGGAAATCGACGAGCAAGAGCGTCTCCTCTCGATTCTCAAGGTGCACCTCTGCCTGCCTCGGATTTATTTTCAATTCGCGTCCTCTAATAACGTGCAACTTTTTTTTTTAATTACGAATTTATGTTAATGAGGTTTCTTGATTCGTCAAGGGAAGATTGAATTTATCATCTGAGGAGTTTTCGTATGTAGTTACAGTTCTAGTATTTTCTACTCTGGCAGATTTTACTTCGTCAGCACTGTTTCGGTTAAATTAGGCATTCTGATTTTTCTACTAAGCTTTGGTGTTTCTTTTAATTAACGGATGGAATTCGTTAATATGAAGATGAAAGTGTTCCTGATGTTTGATGTGCTTCCAGGATACAAAGCTTTGCTTGCTTTCAGTTAACAGTTCATAGTCTTGAAGGAGTGTTTACCAAATTTTTTTGGCAAGTTCTTATTTATTACATGTAGGAACCTATTGTTGATGTTATCAAACTTGTTTTACGTGTCCATAGTAATCTTATGCCATTCCATACTTTAAGTTGGATTTCTTTTATTTCAACCCTCGTATAAATCTAATCATTGCCTGAACTTTTGGTTTAGTTATAATTAATTACTGACAGATTTTGCGGTTTACAGTCCCAGTTAAGTCGGGCTGTGTATTTGGAGGATTACGAAGATGCTGCCAGGCTTAAGGTGGCGTTTGCAGCTGCAGCTAACAATGACAGTGTTGGAAGAGTGATGTCTTATCTCAACGTAAGAATTTTGATTACACGATGACTTTTGATAGCCAGAGCTTTTTCATACTTACTACCAATTTTTGTGTCTTCCTTTTTTCACAATCCCATTCGTATACACATTTTAAATCTGTTTGTGTATTTTCCAAACTTTCAGAGAGCCATAAAAGAGGAACGGTATGGTGATGCAGCTTTCTTAAGAGATAAAGCTGGAGCTGGACTTGTGAGTCTGATAGAATTTGTTTAATCCAACTTGCGTGAATATCTGTGCATTGCAGTGGAAGTAGAATGTCAGATGTAATGTCAAAGAGTAACCCTAGTAATACTTGTAGCTCTGCTTAAATCGATGTTACTAAGTTGAAAATTTGTTTACACCATCAAGATAAGACATCCCTTGCTACTTTATTGGTCATTAGGAGTTCCTTTGAAGTGAAGTTATTCCTGGACCTTGCAATTGGCTGTGGAACCTAATCATAATGACATTCAATATTAGAATATAGCAAATACAAATCCATTTGTAAGCATGTTTGGTTTACTTATTATTGTGCTTTTAGATTTTAGGGTGCATTTTTTTTATTACGTTGGTTTTTGTTATGGTTCTTATTCATTTGCATTAGTTGGCAGATTGGGTCCTGTATATATTTATTTTTCAAACATATTAATGCTTTGATGTGACATTTTAGTGCTTTTGCGCTCTGCTAATAAACTGCACTGCTTTAAAAATCTGAATTTGATTTGTAATTTTATTTTTATATCTATTGGTTTTATCAATATTCAATAGAATTTCTTTTAAATTGACATGCATTTTGCTCGTGCAGGTGGGTTGGTGGGCTGGTATTTCTGAAGATGTTAATGATCCACATGGTCTAATTATTCGCATTACTCCTGAGCATGGAAGATATGTGGCAAGGAGTTATAGTCCTAGGTAATTTCTCTATGATGATGATAAAAGTGTAGCCCTTTCATGAATTGGAAAGGAAAACTTTGTTTGGTATAGGACTAAACCACTTCTGCTTTGTGCTAATGAGGAATGGCTTATGTGAATGGGTCTAAATTATTTAGGTTTAGAGTTCCTCCACCTTCTGTTAGGAATAACTTATTTACTTTTGTGATTGTCAATCATTTCTAATTATACCCAACGTGAAACTAAAACATAGTAACTGTGTGATATTTTGTCAGGATTAATTTAACCTATTTTTGTGGTACCTTTCTGTTAGTCTTAGCCACAAAGTGGCTTCTGTGGGTTTATGAATCTCATATAATAAGCTCATCCAAACATGGTCAAAGTTTCAAAATATTTTATAATTCATAAATGTCTATTGCTGCAGCATATAAACTCAAATAGTTTGTGCAACTGGGTCTTATCTTATGTGCTTGTACTCTTATAGCCTTATTTATGCATAAATAATGACGCTGGGAGATCAAACAGTTACTAATTAGATTTTTGCCTCAAACTTAGATGTGCCTGTAGGTATATGTGTTCAAGATAGTGTGACATTGCATTAGCCAACTGCCCCCCCCCCGTTAGATTAAGATCCGAAAGATCCGATTGTCATATCACCTATGTATATTTTGTCTACTTCAACAAAGGACAAAACATATTCAGTGTGACCTATTTCCTGCCACCCGTCTTATTAGTTGGTAAACCTTTCAATATTCTCTTTCATTGTTTGTTCACACTTCACAGGATAATGTTATAATGACCTTAAATGAGACATATTTTATCTGCTATCATGTTTAGCAATTCTGCATGATCACAACACGATAGTTATACCAGACTACTTGATGTACATATTTTGTATATTTCACATGTTTATAAACTAAGATGAAAAGATGGATTGTCAGGGAACAATGGTATAATTATTCTAATCTTAGAGAAGTATGTTGAATGACGTAATTATAGGTTTGCATTGTTCTGCTTTGACTTTAACCCTCATTGTTTCAATTATTGTTTATATTGGTAATGAGCTAATTTAGAGTGTAGTTTGCCTATCTTTACTAACCTTGTCTTTGACTGTCTTTAAAAATTTAGCTGGAATTATTTATAAATTGCTACGGGATTGTAGCTATAACCTTCGACCAATTAGATTGGCTAGCAGTTTATCGTCATTCTTTATTTGGCACTAAATCATATTGAATATTATGGGCAGTCTTAGCGGTGAGTTCTATGAATCTGGTTGTTATATGCTCACATTACATAGTTGTATACAGTCATTCTTTGTATAATTTGACATAGCTGTGTACATTCGTTCTTTGTATAGATTTATGGGAACAAGTATCGTCAGTGGTGTTTCTTTTCCTCGCATGATATATTTCTTATGCAATCAATTTATTATTTACTTACCTTTTTTTTTTCATTTTTTGATGTATTTCAAGGAATTTCTGTACATGAGATATATTATTATTAGGTGAGCCTGCTACTAACTTGTGTGGCTTCTGGTGTTGACCCTTTTACCATATTTTTCTAGGCAACTTGTAACATCTGCTGCTGGCGTTCCTCTATTTGAAATTTTTCTTACAACGGATAAAAATGGTGAATTCAAGTCACAGGTATATTTTCTTGACTGAACCCTTAATTTCTCTTGCTTATGCTAGAATCATTACTATAGAAACAGCTAGCAATCTTCTCTAAAATTTGATCTAAATTACAAGTTTTCATGAATAAAACATTGTGCTGAATCTGGATTCTGTTCACTTAGGTGAAATCTGAATATATGGGTATGCTAAGGATCATCTTCTATGTTCACTGTCAAACAAGTTTTCTGCTAATATTCTGTTTAAAACATTCATAGATGATGGATGAGGAACTGGGGATTACGAACAAGAATGAAATATATTGCTTGTAGTTCAAAATCCAGATTAAGGTTTCAGACTTAGTTTATTTTAAACCCTAATGTTTCTTAATTATGAATATAAGTTTTATGGTAGATTTGTTGTTCTAAAACTTATAAACAGTTGTTGGGAATACCAAGCAACCAATTTGGATTATTGGTCCCTTGGAGCTGAGTTGAAAATTTTATTGATGAGAATGGAGCACTTTTGGGTTGAATTTTTTCTATCTACTTTTAATGCTAGATTCACACACACTTGAGCAGTTTTACTTCCTGGTGTTTGGAGCTTCACATTGTCTTAAGTTTCTATGGACATGCATTCTCAGATAATGATATTTCTGATCTAAGGTGCCTCCGTTTATTTTTTGGCGCTCATGGACATGTATTGAATTTCCCTAAAGACAGAGGTGGTCTTTTGGAATTTTAACTTGTATGCTTCTGGAATCAAAATATGTGGCAAAACTAAGTTGAGTCTTATTGTTAACTTTGTACCTGTGGTCCTTATTTGATGAGTTAAAATGATTGTTTCAGAAATTTATGGTATGCGCATGACACTAATTGCACATTACTTTATGGAAAATGCAAACCTACTGTCTTTCATGTGTTGTATGTTAGCACCTTACACAGTTTTATTGGAAAAAAAAAACAAATTTTACTCAACATAAAACAGTCAAATGCCTACATTTTAGTAATTAAAAGCTGGTAGTTAAATAGATAATTGTTTATCTTCCATACTAATAATTATCAACCATATAAATCTTTCTCCATATCTACCAACCTTGAAATTTTCTTGTTATTTTATAAAAAATTAAAGGTACAGTAATTTACTTTTAAGCAAAATGAAGACCATAATGAATTATCTTGAATTTGCAATAAAAATCCCGTACTTAAATTAATAATAATAGTAATAAAGGTTGTTAGAATAATTATTAAATCTATGTGTAATCATTAAGTCTGAGTAGGGGGTAATGTGTTGGAAACATCTACCAGTTCTTCTGCTATTGTACCTAGTTTTGTACCTAGGTGTCTAGTGCGACCTTAGATCTTCTATGCTTCTTGTATCAAACTTTTCAATATAAATAGAAGATGATTAAGAGGGGTGATTAAGCCCTCCAAACTATATTTTTTTGTTTCTTAACGTTAAGTTGGTATTAGAGTGGGTTGATCCTGCTCTACATGTCTCAGTAATCTCTGGAGCCGTTGTCCGCCACTGATTGCCACCGTCCATCATCAGAGTTTCTTTCGGCGACCACCAGATTTGGATCGCTTCTCCGAGCGACGACCAACCCTGCAGTCTCAGAAGCTAGTTCCCTCCCTCGCGCCATCATGCGCCTAGTCAAAATCGGTTGCAATCAGGCGCATGTCACCCATGCGCCGCCCTCTCCCCGTCTGAATGTTGTCGCACCACCTCCGTGGGTATCGCCGGAGCCTTCCCTTCCTGTTCTGACCCTCAAAATTTCATTTTGGCGAAGTCCAAAAGGCATCCTGGCGAAGTCCAAAAGGCATCCTAGCGAAGGTCACCTTAGGGTCTCTTTGCCCTAGTTGTTTTTTGGCTCTCTATCAACAGAAATGGCTATTGGAGCTGATGTTTCATTTTCTGGATGTCCTTTCATTATTTCAGAAAAACTAAATGGAAAAAATTACCTTTCGTGAACTCTGTTGAAATATGGTTCCTTGGCCAAAGTCATCATGACCACCTTGAGAAAGATGGAAGTCATGTGCCTCCTGAAAAGGCTAATCAGTGGAAGCAAGTTGATTTCTAGCTGTGTGCCCTATTATGGCAAACTGTGGAACCAAGGCTTTTGATTTCCCTTCGAGTCTTTAAAACTTATCACCTTTTTTGGAAGAAATCTCAATACATTTATGCAAATAATATTCAACGTCTCTATGATTCTGCTAACATATTTACATCTATCACACAACCTGATCATGATATGGTATCCTTCATGACCGAAGCACAATCTGTAGTTGAAGAGCTAAAGATGTTCTTGGAAGTAGAATCTTTGGATGAAATCAAGAAGAAACTTGATAAATATTATATGGTGATGATCCTTCGTGCTTTACACTCAGACTTTGATCATCTTCGAGATCAAATTCTTACCAGTCATGAGGTCCCTTCCAAGATAGCTTGACCACACGCCTCCTTCGAGTCCCAGTGCCTCAAAGCAAGGAAGTTCATGGATGAGTCACACCCAAGAAAACTATTTCTCCTTGCATGGTTTTCCTGCCAAAACAGCTAATGTCTTTAAGGCTAACAATGCCAACTCCAGATTCACTGAGGAAGAATATCAAGAGTATATTAGATTAAAATCTAACAACTTGGCTCAAACATCTGAAACTTCGAGTACATCAACAGCCTGTATTTCCCAATCCATGGAAGGTCAAAATTCATGGATAATTAACTCAGGTGCTTCTGATCACATCTTCGGTAATACCTCTTTGTCCCCATCCCTTTCTTTTCAAGAAAAACATCATTTCATAATCCTAGCAAATGGCTCTAAAGTTTCCTCAAAGGGAGTTGGTCAAGTCTCCTTATCACCTTCCCTAAATATAAAATCTGTCATTTTTGTCCCTAATTGTCCCTTCAATTTAATTTCATTAAGTCAGTTAACCAAAACGTTAAATTATTCAATAATCTTTTATAAAAAGTCTTTTATTATACAGGAGCGTGGTTCGAGGAGACGAATTGGAAAAGAATATGAAGCTGGAGGTTTATACCATTTTGGATCTAGTCCACATGTTTCCTGTGTTGCAGCCCCAAGTCCTAAATTGTTACGTAAACGGTTAGGTCATTCTCATTTGTCAAAGTTAAAAAAAATGGTCCCCGAGCTTAGTAGTCTCCAGATCTTAGAATGTGAGTTTTGTCAATTAGGAAAACATGTTAGATCTACCTTTCCTAAAAGGTCTAAAACAAGGTGTAATTCTAGTTTCTCTATTATCCACTCTGATATTGAGGGACCCAGTCGCGTCTCTTCTTTTGATTTTAAATATTTTGTCACATTCATTGATGAATACTCGAGGTGTACTTGGGTTTATCTTATGAAAGACCGTACTGAATTGTTGTCTATTTTCACATCTTTTTTGAACGAAATCAAGAACCAATTTGGTCAAGTAATCAAAATTTTATGAAGTAATAATGCCAAAGGGTATTTCTCATCCAATTTTTCTGCAGCCTTGAGTTTGCATGGTATAGTACATCAGTCCACTTGTCCTCACACACCACAGCAAAATGGTATAGCAGAAAGAAAATATTGAAACTTAGTTGAGACTGCTCGTACCCTATTGCTTGATGCAAATATTCCTGTCAATCATTGGGGGGATACCATCCTAAGTGCGTGCTTTCTTATTAACAAGATGTCATCTTCCTCTCTCAATAATAAGGTCCCTTTATCCATTCTTTTTCCAAATGATCCTCTCTTTCACATTTCTCCCCATGTGTTTGGTTGTGTATGTTTTGTTTATGACATGTCTCCAGGTTGGACAAGTTGTCTGTTCATGCGATCAAATGTGTCTTCTTGGGCCATTCTCGACTTCAAAAGGGGTACCAGTGTTACTCTCCTGAAACCAAGAAGTACTATATGTCTGCTAATGTTACATTATTTGAACATACTCCTTATTTTTCTTCATCCGTTCAAGATGTGCATGTCATTCAGCAGGTCCTCCCTATACCATTAATTGAGTCCACTAATTCCAGTATCTCTAATCCTAGTCTTGGTCAAAGTCCTCCTATTGATATCCATGGGACCCAAATAACTAGTCTAGTTATCCAAGAACAAGGTGAATCCTCTACTTCAAATTCTTCATCATCGTCACTCAATACCACGACTCTTGATGAAAAAGATTCAGACTGACCCATTGCTCTTAGAAAAGGTACTCGTTCCACTCGTAACCCACATCCTACTTATAATTTTCTTAGTTATCATCAATTATCGCCCTCCTATTGTTTTTTTCTATCCTCAGTGTCTTCTATTACCATTCTCAAAAATGTGACGGAAGCACTTGATCATCTTGGATGGCGACAAGCTATGATTGCAGAAATGTAGGCTCTTGACCAGAGTAATACTTGGGAATTCCCTCCCACTTGAAAAAAAGACAGTTGGGTGTCGATGGGTTTATACCGTTAAATTGATTCTAATGGTGAAGTTGATCGTTTCAAGGCATGATTAGTTGCAAAAAGATACACTCAAATTTATGGCATATAGTGATACTTTCTCTCTAGTGGCCAAGATGACTACTATCCGTCTCTTTTTTGCCATGATAGCAATTAGTTATTGGCCACTCCATCAATTGGATATCATAAATGTCTCTCTACATGGTGACCTTGCAGAGGAAGTATACATGGAGCAACCTCTGGGGTTTGTTGCTCAGGGGAGTCTGGTAAGGTTTGTAAGTTGCGTCGCTTTCTCTATGGCCTCAAACAATCACCACGTGCTTGGTTTGGTAAATTAAGCTCAGTTGTTCAAAAATTTGGGCTAAAACGCAGTGAAGCCGATCATTCAATTTTTTATTGTAATACCCATCTTAAGAAATGTATTTACCTGATAGTCTATGTTGATGATATAATCATTACAGGAAATGATGTGGCCAAAATATCTCAATTGAAGGAGTACTTGTGCAAACATTTTCAAACCAAGGATCTTGGGAGTCTTAAATATATTTTGGGCATTGAGATAGCTCGGTCAAAAGATGAGGTTGTTATCTCTCAGAGGAAGTACACTTTTGACATCCTACAAGAGACAGGTATGCTTGACTATAGGCTAGTAGATAGTCCTATGGACCAAAATAAAAAACTAATGACAAAAAAATGTGAATCATTCCCTGATCCAGAAAGATATAGACGGCTAGTTGGAAAATTAATTTATCTTATTAATACCAGGCCTGATCTATCTTTTGCAGTTGGAATGGTTAGTTAGTTCATGCAGGCCCCATGTATTGGCCATTGGAATGCCACCATTCATATTTAAGGTACCTAAAAAAGGCTCCAGGATAAGGTTTGTGATTTGACGATAAAGGAAATGTCTAAGTCTCTGGATACTGTGATGATGCTGATTAGGCAGGCTCCCCAACTGATAGACGCTCTGCTATGGGATATTGTGTTTTCCTTAGAGGAAATATTATCTCATGGAAAAGTAAGAAACAAAATGTAGTGGACGGATCAATTGCTGAAACTGAATACAGGGCAATGAGATCTCTTATTTGTGAACTTATATGGGTAAAACAATTCCTTCGAGAGCTTAATTTTTGTAATGTCTAGACCATGAAAATTTATTGTGATAACCAAGCTACTTTCCACATCGCGTTAAATTCAGTATTTCATGAAAGGACCAAACACATAGAACTTGATTTCCATTTTGTTCGGGAAAAATTATTATCCAAAAAAATTTGTACTTAGTTTGTTGGATCAAATGACCAACTTGCAGATATGTTAAGCAAGTCCTTAAGAGGACCTCAGATTGAGTTCATTTGTTCCAAACTTGGTACATACAATTTGTATACTCCAGGTTGAAGGAGAGTGTTAGAATAATTATTAAATCTATGTGTAATCATTAATTGTTGTACCTAGTTTTGTACCTAGGTATCTAGTGCGACCTTAGATCTTCTATGCTTTCTTGTATTAGACTTTTCAATATAAATAGAAGATGATTAAGAGGGGTGATTAAGCCCTTCAAACCATATTTTCCTGATTCTTAACCTTAAATAAGGTCAATCATGAACAATGCATGGCATGTCAATTTTTATCATCATTGATTTTTGAAATTATCTAAGGGCTATCAATTAAATAAGGTTAATATATTTTAGTTGATACCTTATTTGGAGAGATGAAGATTTAAAGGTCTGGTTGGTAGTGATTAAGAGAGAAAATGATTTATAAGGATGGTGACTATTTGTGGAGAGAGTTATAATTTGATTAACAAGGTTGTCAAATGACATTGTCACTGAAGTTGAGTAAGAAGAGATAAAGATGGTTTGTTTTGTACAATTAAAGTCTAAAGAGTGCCAACCTACACATGAAGCACAGTAATAATATGCTTACACAATTTAAAGGTATTGTCCAATAGCCATTGTAAAGTAGACTAACATTAACAATAATAATTTTTTAAAGTAATCATAATAACGATAATACATAACAGTCATTATCTATAGCTGTCCAATAGCAATACTATAATAGGATATTCTTTTAATTTTCAGGCTGTCTACCTAAAACGAAGAGGGGCCTTCCATGGACCCCCAACAATGTCCTCTAAAACATTGGATGCTACTGGGAGACTGAGTTCAGTGGAATCTACTGAAGACAAAAGTGAGTTGTATGTTGTGAGTACTGAAGATCCAGAAAATGGTGATGATAGGAACGATGGCTCTGATCCAGCTGAGGGAATTCCTGGATTTCAGAATGTGTTGAAAGATATGATTCCTGGGGTAAAGGTGAAGGTTTTCAAGGTGATAACTCCAGCGAAAGTAGACACAGATCTGTCTGATGTGATTGAACAGATAATTGAGGATGAAGATGGTGATGAAGAAGATGATGATGATGATGATGATGAAGATGATGATGATGATGATAATGATGACGACGATGAAGATGATGACGAAGACTATGTTGAAGAGAAGGAAAAAGATACAGAAAGTATAGAACTGGAAGACATTAAGTCTGAAACTGACCAGGAGGGAGATGATGAGATTGAAGTAAATGCTCGTTTGGGAACTTTTGAACGGGAAGATCAGAATGAATTTGCTGTCAAAATTGCCATTGGTGGACTTGTTCAGAAACTTTCCAGTAATCTATCCTCTAGAGATTTGCTTCGAGTTCCTGCTAAGCTGGATATGAAGGGGTGTGGTTCATTTTCGTTTACTGTTGAAAAAGAAGTCAATAAGCAGATTGGTCTTGACAAAGGAAAATCTTCATCTGATAAATCAACTAAGTTTCAAGGTCGTCGCAGAGTTGATCATGTTATTTTTGACCTTGCTAAATTTATTGGGAGGGGAAAGATACCCTCGAAGGTATGTATAAGTAGTTGAATATATATTCCAAATTAATTTTCCAAAATTCAATATCCTTGTTGAATCTATCCATGAGTTGCTTAGACTATAATGCTTTGCTTCAATCTTTTAGGTGCTGAAAGAGGTCGGAGAATTGATAAATCTCACTCTAAGCCAGGCTCAGAACCATCACCAATTATCTGGGTCAACCATTTTCAATCGCATCAAAATACCAACTTCTTTTGATCCTTTAAATGGTGATTTTTGTAGAATTTGTCAATTTGGTCACTGCGAGGTGCTGAATGTAGGATGTTTGTAATCTGCAGCTCATTGTAAATCATCTAACATATTTTCATTTTCAACAGGTCTATACATTGGTGCACATGGGCTTTACTCCTCTGAAGTTATTCATCTAAAACGTAGATTTGGACAGTGGCAAGAGGACAATGGAGCTAAGGAACCTTCAGATCTTGAGTTTTACGAATATGTAGAAGCTTTGAAGCTAACAGGGGATCCTTATGTACCAGCTGGCCAGGTAAAACTGTGAACATTATTAAAACAATGATTTTTTATTTTTTTTTCATCTCCATCCTTTACTATTTTGTGAGGAGGTGTTGAAGTAGCAACCTTGCATGTGTGGAAAATGAAGTTTTTAATTGTGCTTGCAAAAACTATAGAGGATGTTGGTGGTGTTGAAAAAATATGCTGTGTCACTGTGAGCTTGATTGCAATAGTTTATTTACCTTCATTATGTGTATTTGCCGGACAAAATTTTCTTTTTCTTTGGGAAACTTATGTCAACTGAGTTTAACATAAACTGAGTTATTTCTTGTACTTTTTTCTACAATAGACTTGCATTCTCTTTTTGATACTAAGCTTCTCATCATGCTGTCTTTACAACAGATCTCATGGTTTATGTTTCTTGACCTTAGGTGGCATTTCGTGCAAAAATTGGAAAGAGGTATCAACTGCCTCATAAAGGGATAATACCTGAAGAGTTTGGCGTGGTATGAAATTTTTTTCTTGAGGTTCTTAACTCTCTCCATTCCTCCCCTCCCCCAAACTTTTAGTAAATTGGTGTTAATTCACTATAAAGAAGAGATTATTATTTTTCTGTATTCTACCCTGATATTATTATAATTTTCAGATTGCTCGCTACAAAGGTGAAGGAAGGCTGGCCGAGCCAGGGTTTCAGAATCCCAGATGGGTTGATGGTGAACTTGTGATTCTTGATGGAAAGGTTTGTGTTCTTCAATCTTGCCTTGTTATTTAATCCTTTTGCTGTATTAATTTCAACTGAAATTGTACTTTCTTACTCTTGTGCAAATGTTTCTAATTGCAACATGCCTTTTGTTGATTTGTGCAGCACCTAAAATCTGGCCCAGTTGTTGGATTTGTGTATTGGGCACCTGAGTATCATTTTTTGGTCTTCTTCAATCGGCTTAGGCTTCAACAATAGGGTTTTGTTCATAATATCAGAGACTTGTAAATTCTTTCTTCAGATTCTCAGCGTAAGTTCTCATTAAAGATACATGTGCCATGGAAGTAGTAACTGATGGATTTTGTTTGCTGCATGAGTTTTTTTTTTTTTTTTCTTGCAAGCTAGGAAATCATATTGTTAGTATGGTCAGTGAGTAAATATGTGAAACATAAAATTTGTGTACTAATCTGCATATGATATAAATGTGGAACAAAGTTAGGTTTTTAAGAGGGTGTATCGGCCTATTTATTATTTTTATAATTTATGTAATCTATATAACAATGAAAGAATTTTGCTACAGCTTGGGTTTAATTGAAACCAATAAATCCCAATCCTATTTGAAGATTATGCAATGTAGGCTGTTAAATAGGCTTTCAAACCATGCCAAGCTTTTCTGTTTTCATTAAGATGCAAGGCCAGGCAAAAACAAGTTATGAAAATAGGCCAGGTTAAAGCAAATGGTCTGATAACTAGACCTGGGCTATGAGCTAAACCTGCCCTACCTATTTTTTGCTATGTTATGTTTTGACGGCTTTACTTATAGATAATTGATTGGTTTAAGTAATGTATTAGAGGCATGTAACTGAACCAACTAAAAATCATTTAACTTTTGTAGGAAGTAGATTCCAATAAAGTGAAAGAAAAAGTAAGAAAGCTGGAGAAAATAAAGAGAAAAGAGATACAATCTGAACAGGCTCTCTACATTGAAAAGTTATCTCTGAACTGAGCAATCACAATATGAGTACAAAGAAGAGGGAAATATGTATTTGTATATCTGATTAACACGAGTTATTTCGATTAAGAGATGACTAAATTGACAAGCTAATTCAAAGATGGTCAGCAGATAATAGTAGTTAGGATCAAAAGAAAAACACCTATTTGGCTTAGCTTATCCGTCTCTAGAGCTTGGGATTAAATATTTATCGATGGACCAATAATAACTTGATAACGGGTGGCATAGTAAGCTCGGCAAACCTTATTAGGATAGGTTCTAATACTATATTAGAAAGGGGACATGACCCAACTTAACCTTGCAAAATTGACGTGTAAGCTAAGGTTTGCATTCTACTTATCTATTCTACATGTTAGCCATATCTCTAACTATGTGGAATATCTAACAAATCTCCTCATATCAAGATATAGGTGATCTCCAACACATCTTCTCATATCAAGGATATAGGTGATCTCCAACACATTTTCTCATATCAAGGATATATAGATGATCTCCAACACACTCCCTTGTATCAAGGATATGGGTAGTCTGATAATGACTGAGTAGCAGGTGGGCAACAAATCTCGCTAGAATAGACTTTTATACCATATTAGAAAATGGATTTAGATGTAACTTAACCTTATAAAACCGGCTTATAAGGTGAGTTTTGCATCCCACTTAAATACTATAATTTGGCTAAGTCAATGAGGGATCTCCAACAGAGTTAATCTCTCAAGCAATTGCCACATCTTGTTTTTCTGAAGTTTATGGTTACTCATTCACAAGCTTTTATTACTTAATACAGAAATAGAAACAAGGTTATCCAAATCAAAATTTAATGTAGGACTGGGATGAGTGAAAGACAGTAAATAGTAGGATGTGACACGGATCCTAAGTTCCTACTAAGCATGTAGAATAATGCTTTAGCATATACGAATGCCAAGAATGACATAGATAATAGAAATAACCTCACCTAGCTTTGAAACTTTGTGAGTAATTGGTAATCTGGTGTGAGACTGTTTATTGCCATTGGCAATGGATCGTGATGCTGGTTGTCTCTTCCAAACTCTGGATCTACATACTGTGTAAATCCAGAAGAAAATTAGAAAACTTTGAAATGGGAAACATGTATCTCTTGAGGTTTGCCTTTCTTGTATTACTAAATAATGAAACTTCTGCAACACATTGATAAGCACATATGCACTTGGAGAAATCCCACTCAAGTACTGTAGTGAGCATACTCTTACTAATATTTAACTTAGGCTATGTTTGGATTAGTGGTGGATAAGGATTGGAATGGAGTTGAATTGATTATAACTTTTTAATTCCTACACTATACTTATTTTAAATGTATTATCTTTATGAGGTTGATTATTAGGCTAAAATTAGTAAAGATAGAATAGTATTTCTATGATCTAAAAGCTTTGTTCCACCAAGGGCGATTAATGATCCATCTTCTTCCATTAAGTTCCATTCCTATTTTTTGAAACTAAACAATGGAATAATTTCTCCTTCCAATTTCATCCCTTACAATCCACTGTCTACCACCGATCCATATATGGACTTAGGCACTCTATAATACTCTAGTCCCTATCACACATTTACGGCTGTACTGTTATATATAGAAAGTAACTTAGCCTATAAAATAATCACCAAGTATTTACTCGTTTTTAATATAAATCTTTTAGTTTGATCAGAAGACAGCAGAGAATTATTTATAAAAAGGGAAATTCTTGTTTGAAATTTTGATTTGCTGGGTTGCTAAATACTAAAGGTTTTTTTATTCTATATCTTTATGGTATTGGTTTCTATGGAATTGCCATGAAGTGTATGGGTTGATTCTAAATATTTAAATTTGTAAAGGTTTCATGTTGCGAGTTTAATTAATAAGTAATCGAAGAATTTTCTATTTTCAATAGGTTCTAGGCTTTGTTGAATGCTAAAATTGTGCTTCAATGGAATATAGCATCAATCTCTGCAGGGTTTCCATTTAAGGTATCCATTGTCTAAACTTCAATTACATATTGTTGTTTCATGGTTCTTTCAGTGAACATGAATTTTCTCTGATCGTTGTTTTTCTTTTTTCTCTTTCTATCTGACTCGGATGTACAGCTGTAGAATATCTTCACCACTAGCTTTCTACTGTGTAGCGGAGACTGAGCATTGGGCCTCCTTGACTAGAACTCAAATGCCTGAGATATATTAAGCTTTGGAGCTAGCTTGACTAGCTATGGGTTGAATAGGATTCATAATATCAGCACTAAAGCACAATGTACTAGTCTTCATTCCACATCTTATGGAGGTGTATTGTTCAGGGTATCTCCATCAACTTTGTACATTGATCATAATTTTTCTTACATGTTATATTGCCATGTATCATAAAATGCATAACATTATTGTTCTTTCTGTTCTAATAAAATTTTCATCACAATTTTGTCTTCTTACTTTGGATAGTATTTAGAGGTTTTTGGTATTAGCTTTCTCATTAAGTATTATATCTAGTCCACAAATTGAAGGTCCCCCCCGAAGAGTGAAGTCAAAGTTTTGAATACAGATTTGATTTGATGACAAAACAGTAGTTGCCTTTTTCAATCCCAGCTTGACCTGCGGATAAGCTTGTGAGAGTATGCCCAGTTAGTTCATGCCTTGCATTGAATTGATGCAAGGACACATAATACTTACTCCAGTAAAGATAAAATGCAGAAAGTATCGTAGTAAAAATCGAGATCTTATTTAAGTTCAGAAACGTAAGTCGGGAGATCATAACACAAATAATAAGATCCTACATAATTTATGAAATTCATTTATATGTTAAATATTTAAACTTTAATTCAACATGAAAAGCAAAATTATAACATAATAAGCACAAAAGACAATAAGTCAATAGGTGTAATTATTACGTCAACATTCTATCCTAGTTATAAAACCATAAATCCGTCCCAGTTAGAAAACATTAAGCCCAGACCTCAATCATAGTTTCTAAATAGGAATTTTATCTTAGATACAAAAAAATAATCCATCTAAAGTAAATATTCACTTATGAAATCTTCAACTCCATTCTTTCCAATTCTATCCCGTTCACCATTCAAATGTGTAATGTCTAAATCCTTAGGTGTAGTTTCATCCAAATTTGGGTTGTCTACATTCAAACCTAATCCTTCCAATTCTCCCTAAACTTGCCTTCTATAATCCACTCGTCATTCATAACCAATCGTCAATATTAATTTGAACTGATTTTTTTGTTTACTTCTTTTTAGCTAATTTTGAATGGACCATAACAAAAACAACATTATTCATTATGCTTTTTTTCAACCTATTCCTTCTCTTTATGGGAACTTAAACAAATGCAAATGTAAATACGACAAACAAGTACACTAGTAATTTTATTGTGTATCTATATTTTAGTTCATATTAATTTATCATCTTAAAGGAACTTTAATTATGTTTACATTGAAAGAGCTACATGTCAAACTCAACAAATTTTTGGAGTTCTAGATATTCATAGCCATAAGACTCACCAATTTGTTGAAGTCTTTAAATTAATCGATCTAGTAAGGGACAACCAAAATATTTAACTCAATTTTTGAAACCATCAACTTGAACAATAATCAAAATTTAGTCATCCTTATCCTTGACATCCTTGTTAGATATTTCATTAAACCTCGTTTTACTTTCAAATCAATTTTAAATTTAGGATGGTAATGCATTTGAGGATTAAAGAAATAGCATGGAGTATGTAAAGGCTTTAAGAGGTTGTTTGCCTCACCTTTCATCAAAGATGTTGTTAAAGGTAAACAACTAAAGCAAAGTATATTACATTGAGTTATTTTACATTGAGTTAGTTTATTTTCAATTTTAAAAAGGACTAGCTTAGTAAATAAATATATAGAACAGATAGTATCTTTTTTATACTACATTGAAAGTCTTTACATCATCAATGAACCCCGTGGCTGGTTTTTTATTTGAACCAACCATTCGAAACACCTCAATTAAAAGCAATGCAAACTATAAACAAATTATGATATTCTTCCAAAAATTCTTATCCAAAATCTATCCTCCATTAATTTTCATCTTTTATTACTGCAAACCTAAACATTCTAATTAAAGTTCTCTTATTCTCATTAAGGCATCCTAATGTAAAGTAAGATGTGACAAAGTAGTAATACTTGACCTTATCAAATCTCCTCCTTTTGTGAAATATTGTAGTAGAGAAATTAGAAAAAAATTTAATAGATCAAGATTTTAATTCTTTTACCTATTAGACTTGTCTCCTTGGGAATTGGAACCATGGGTAAAATAGTGACAATCTCTCTTTTGTAAGGGAGAAGACGAGTCTCTCGATTTTGGTAACAAGAGTAAAAATCATGCATATTTTGGACTGAAGAGCGGGAGTCTCCAAAGTTGGACTTCGAAGAGTAGTAAATGTTAGGCTTTAAAGGAATAAAATTGGATATTAGGCTTTCTGAAGAGGGGCCTAAGCTAGTCATCAAATTTTCAAAATTGGGTTAGAAAACCCTATCTACTAAAATTGTATAGAAATAGGTTGCGATTAGACAGACATCAAACCCACACAAAACAACTGTTGTACCCACGCGATAAAGATGTCGTCTCACCACATGCCGAAGATATTGAAACACATTGATGCCTCCACACCAACGCAGATAGAAAGATTGTCACAATCATGCATCAAAGACGTCGTGTTCACACGAGTCTCTATCTTCAATGTCGATCCCACATGATCTCGAAACATTGCACTAGAGATGCTAATTCAGAGAAGGTGAAGAAGATTGTATATTCGTATGATCATATGCTTCAACTCGTGATTCCGTCTATCATGAGTGAAAGTTCTTGTTAAAAACTAAAGATAGGTGAAGGCAAGTTGGTAAAGGTAGTCATATCTTCCACATTAAGAGATACTCTAAAAATTGTTAGATCTCCTTCCTTTCAAACGCAATCCAAGTTTTTTTTTTTTAACCTTTTTTTTTCTCTTTGACTTCTTATTTTCCAATGTCTACCACTTTTTCAAAGCACCAAATGTAATCTTAAAATTCCAAAAAAGAAAAAAAAATAGAAGGAAGGAGGAAGGCCAAAATGTCATGATGACAATTTTGCTACTACAATAACTATTTTGAGCTTCAAGAAGCATAGAAAAGGGATGGAGAGGAGAAGAAAGAAAAAGTCTTTCTTTCTTGTTGCTCTTTCTTGTAGATATTAACAATGATGACAATGTAATTCTATCAAAGGAGATTCAATCCTTTGACATAAAAAACCATTGTAACTAACCCTTGTTCCTTCATCACTTTTGTTCTTAAATTCTTTACCCACTTCCAAATATAAGTGCATACCAATGTTATCATGCAATTTTCCATCAAATGGTGAAGTTCCAACATTTGCCTCGACCTCTAGCATCACTATGGAGGTGGTGGAAGTAGTTATTGAATAAAATACAAAATTTGTGCTAAAGTTTGAATTTTTATCTCTATTTTGTTGTTTCTCTCTCTATTTATGAATTGGATGTTAATTTTGAATTCTATTGTGTTAATATTTGAAATTTGGACAAATTGATGATTTTTTAGTATGTACTATATAATTTTAATCTCTAATTTGTTGTTTCTCTCTATTTATGAAGATTTGGATATTAGTTATGAATTATATTGTGTTAATATATGAAACTTGGATAAGTTGATGATTTTTTTAGAGTTTGGTGTTTTTCTATTCATTGGATATTAAATCTATGATATTATGAAAATACTTTTGTTCATTGATTTTGTTATCTTGATCCATGTTCTTATTTTTGGTCGAGATGATAAAGAAATTGAATATTCAATTTCTATAAATAGTATTATGCACATTAATGAAGAATGATTTTAATTTCAATAATGAATAAGTAAGAATCAAATTGAAGTATAGTATGAGTGATGCTAGAATATTTTAAGTTAATAAGTAAATTATTATAGTGTAATGAAAATTATAAAAAAGAATAAGTTTAATGAAATTTAACATTGTGAAATATTCTTATATAGGTTTTAGTAATTAAGTGGTTACTAATTAATTTGTTAATAGGAATGATTTATACGATATTTAAGTTATATTTCAATATATTGAATATGGGTAGGTTTGTCAAATCTGAAGTTTGAGTAAAATAGGCTAACTAGTTTGATTTGATAGTATGATAAGGATGAGAAAACTTTGACTAGATTTTAAATGATCGAGATATAATTTTGTATTATACTCAAATTTATAATAATCGCGATATTAATTGAGGTACCAAAGTGTTTGTCAATAACTTTTTTTTTTCAATTTTTTTTATAATAATAACCTAATATAATTTTTATTTATGTAATAAAAAATCTTGTTCGGACCAAAGAGTTATACTCAAATTTCATGTTAATTAGAGATATAATAATATTATAGTATAAAAATAAATATAATCTTTATCTTGGATAAGACGAGAAACCGTAACCCTTGAATATATAGATACTTTTTATTTAAAATAACATCATAATTTCTAACTACACGAGAATTGCAAGTGAAGAGCTTCTCTCGTTTTTTCGTTTTTTTTTTTTCTCTGACAGATTTTGAAATTGGATTCAAATAAAAGAAGGATTTGAGAAAGTCTTAGGATAGTTAGTTGTTCACGGACCAGCGGTATCTAATTTTTTTTTTTAAGGATCAATTTCAACAATACCTAAATTGAATTATAGAATTACGACATAGTCAAACACAAATGAACAAAAATATTAAGACTAAAATTCATAAAAAAAAAGATTTACAAATGAAATAAAATATGATAAATAAAAAAAATAATATATTTTTAATGTTGAATCGGGATTAATTAAGATAAAAATAAAATATTTAGTTGAACTCTTTTTTAATGTCAAAATAATAGCTAATAATTATGAATGGTTATAGACTCGGATAAAAATAAGAGAGTACGACATATAAATAAAGTGTGTCCCATACCAATCTTTCACCAAATGCACATTTGCTCTTGCTTTAAAGAATCTTCTATGAAGTTTGTTCAAGTTCTCAAGGATATTTATCTTTTATTTTTGTCACCTCTGTTTGCCCTTTCTTTGTGTTTGATTTTATTTGCTATGGCAATATCATCTTTTGCTAGTGGTCAAAGTGACACTCCTTTTAGTGGTCTTACCGTGATTGGGTGATAAGGAGTCCTTTTATTATTGGAGACTCATTGTCTTAATTATCAATTTATCTACCTATTTAAAATGTACTAGCAATGCACTTATATCATGCCTAGATGTAGAATTTTAAAAGGAATAATTTGCTATTTTCAAATTTTAAAATTAAATTTCAATAAAGAATCTACAAATAAATTAAAATTCCACATATTATACACAATGACTAAAAATAACATTATTCAAATATTAGAGAATAATATTAAACTTTTAAAATTAAAAAATAAAAACAAGAGTGATCCAAAATTGAAAAATTATTATAATATTAAGCTTTCTAAGAAAACCAATTTGATTTATTTAAATAAAATATTAAAAAAAAAACTTAAATAAAAACATTTCAAATTTCACACCAAAATTAACATAACCCTTTTTAATTAAAATGTAATTTGCAATGAGATTCAAAACACTTCCCAAATCAATATTTTTAAAATGATAATAGTTATTGAACGGGTGCAGACATGATTTCAGAATTTAAAAGTTCAACAAAATTCCAATAAGATTTAATAAAATAATATTTTTATAATATAATAAATTAATATAATATTTATATATATATATATAAATAATAAATATTATTATAAATATATAAAGTTATAAATATTAAATATATTAAAAATAAAAATGAATAATTATTAAAATAAAATATAATAAAATAATTATTATTTAAAATTGACGTAAATAATACAACATATAAAAAATAATTAAAATATATTATATCTTTTTATAAAAAAAGTTTGATCATAAATTTTTTTATTATTATTAAAATCGATTTGACCTAAACGCCTAATGGATTTTCCAGTTTTACATTATCAGTTGAATAGGTTAAACTCGTAATCTGATCCAATTTTCAAAAAATTTCGAAACTGTGAATTTAAGCCTCGAATCCAATTGGTGGATTTGAATTCATTGTAACAAAGTTTTCTATGGATTGGTCCTTAAATTTGTTTTGTATCTATTGCCAAACGAAGTATCTGAACTAACAAAAGTTTGATTTGATCATTGACTATAAATGATTTTAAATTTTATAAGATATACTTTAAAATATGGTCTATTAATATTAAATAAGTTTGTTTAGAAGTGGGTAGACTAATAACAGCAAAAATACAATTAAATCAATAAATTAATAGAGTGGCATCATTAATAGTGTTATCATTACATTATTTCTTTAATTATACATTATATATATATATATATATATATATATATATATATATATATATATGTATGTATATGATGATATGTACCTCTGATGGGGTCGCCAACACCCAATCATTTGTAACTTATTGGACCATGAAGTTGAAAGAGTTCAAACTATTTTTATTAGTAAAGCTACAATTTTTTTTTCTTCTCATCTAATGTATCATAATTCATAAGTACTTTCTAAACTCCAAACATAACCTTAAAAAGATCACACAACATGGTAACATATTAAACCTTCTCTGGTGCACCAATCAAGACTTCATTTGCTATTTTAGCTCCCCGTTCTTTGGCCATATACAGCCCTACGTGATGCATAAACTCCTGCAAATGACACATCACATCACCAAAATGAATCAAACACATGCCTTAACTTTCGCACTTTGTGAATCACTTTTGGAGCAAACACATTCTTTACTCATGAACAGTTATATATAATGTATATATATATATATATATATATATATATATATATATATATATATATATATATATATGTATGTATGTACCTGTGGATGTGCCAAAGCTCCTTTGGTATTTGTGGCTACTTCCTGAGGGATATCAAAGGTAGCACAGCCACGAGAATACACCACCACAGTTTCTAAAGGTTCCAGAAAACCACGGTTTTTTGCTGACATTGTGGAACATACAAAATCTAGAACGCAGATATCTGTGCACACACCTACCACCACCAGCTTCACCAAGATAAGAACTGAATAAGTTCATGGTTTTAAGAAAACGAGTTCACAACTTCATGCCTAAATATGCATCCAGAACAGTAATAAGAGTTTGTACTCAAATTTGAATTAGTAAATACTCACAGTTGTTATCTTATTCTTCTTCACCCAATCTACAAAAACGTTAGAACCATCTTCTTCTATTGAGCCCAAATATCCGTCAAAACACTCCTTTCGCCTTATTGTTACATTGGGTTCATTCTCCAGCCATCTTAACTCTGTGACCCAAGAATAAAGGTTAAACTTTTGCACATATTTAAACATCTAATAAATTTCAACTAAGAATAATAAAAAAATGTATTCAAAAGAGTGTGATATAGAGTGTTAATAATATTTCTCTTATATTCAAGACCCATTAGCCAAAAATTTACTGGTATTTCCACTATGCAGAACTGGGTTGGTAATATCATTATTTTGAGACTCTTTTGGGTTAATATCTATTCATAAAAGTTGAAGGACTAATTTATTGATTAAAAGGATAATCAATTGCCAAGAAAAATGATAAGTACATCTTAGCATGCTGTTTTACATGTTGCAATATCAGCAGTCACTGGGATATTTTGATCTGTATTCATTCTAATAAAATCATGCATGAGAATTATTTGTGTGATTCTCAAGAGAAAAATGATATGTAATACAGTAGCTAATGGCTCACCTGGAACCAGATTTGACTCATCAGAGCCAATAATACAGTGAGGGGGATAAGGATCCTCTGGCTTGTTAGGATGGTGAGAATCCAGGAAAGCCATAACTGGCAATTTCTTCTCACAGAACACTCTAGCTAGCCTTGCTGATTCATTGATCATTCTCGAAATCTGTCCATTGGATTCTCTTGGAGCCTGAAAATATCAGTTTGGTTTAGTGTTGAGTCTCAGATTCATCTTCCTAATGTGAAAAAATGAAAAGTTTTTTGAAGTAGTTTCATAAAAAATACATTTAATATGCGAAATCAAACATACACTTTCTCCACTACAACAGTCAAAGGAAAAGAATCTACAAAGACTCAGTGAAGAAAAAAAATCCCTTTGGGCAATCAATCACAAAAGAATGTTTGGTTTATCAAGATTGATTGAAAAACATTAAAACACACACATAAACATGAGGCTATATGAAAGGAATCAAAAGCAGATACCAGATTTCCAGCACCAACTGTGCAGAAGCCATTGATGATATCCACAAGAACAAGACCATATACAGTATCTTCAACTAAAACCACTGACTCCTGCTCCAGAGGAATCTCCTTCTTTAGGAGTTCAACTGTTTGTGACACCATTTTGATTTCCACTTGCCTGATTTCAGAGATGCCTAACACCGATAGATATAAAATGGCATCTTTATTTTTTATAATGCAGAAAAGCATATACCGTAAAGAATATGATTTGCATTATGCTATCAGTGACTCATTCTAGTGGGAAAGTCAAAGAAAGGATGATGACGTAGAAAGGATAATTATATTTCTTGAGAAAATCTTCACAGAAAACTTTATTTTAATATTTTGCTTGTTGCAGGACAAAAACTGCACATACCTGGGTTCGTGGTAACTTTAGGGAGGCTTATGTTCAATAAATAAATTATTTCCCTCCTCGTTTAGTTTATATAATTATTTTAGCTTTATTTTTTAATTCTTATATTTAAAAATTATTCATTCTAGTTTTTAGATATAATTTTAATCCCATTTAATCTTCATAAATATCATTTTTTAAAATTTTTTTAAATATCAAACTAAAAAGTATTAAGAATAATAAATATAGAAATATTAAAAAATAAATTAATGTTTAACCATTAAAAAATAAAGTTTATATCATAATATCAGGTAACAAGAAAATTTGTGTTGAAAATTATTTTTTACTATTGTTAACTGCGGAAAGACTAAGATTGATTCGATAGGTTAATGTAAAATAATTTAATAAAAAAATTTTCACTGATAGTTATTATTAAAATAATAAAATTAAATTAAAAAAATATTTTTAACGGTGTTGTCTTTTTCAAATTATTCTTTATATAAATTGAATTGATATAATCATAGTAAAATTATCACAAATTTATCATAAATAGTGAATTGAAAAGAATAAATTTTTTAGGTAATATTTCCTCCACCACAAAATTGTTAGGATAATTAATTACCATGGCATAATACAACTAAACTTAAATTTAAATATATTAGTAATATCAATTTTCTAATTTACTTATAAAATAATTATTAAATTATATTGATTAAATAAAATAACATACATTGAAATTATAAATAATGTAATTTTGAAAAAATTGACCAAATTTATTACCAATAATAAAAATAAAATAAATTTTAAAATTATTAGTATAAAACATTAAATTAATATACTTAAAAAAATATTCTTTTACTAAATCATTATAAATAGCTAATTATATTCAATTAAATAAAAAAATTTAGTTAATTAAAATATGTGTTTAATTAAACAACGCTAGGTAATATAAAATTAAAAAAATCAATTTGATACTTGCATATTTTTATTACCATTATAAAAAATAAAAATTTACATAATTTACCTATAAATATAATTTAATGTATATAAAATATAAATAAATGTTTAGTGTTGATAATATTTTTTAATATTGTAATAGGAGCTTGAGGTAATATTTTAAATATTTTTATTTTTATAGATATTTATTTTAATTATTTAAATATTTAAGTTCAAAAACATTTAATATGAAATATGGATATTATCCACCTAATCCAATGTAATATCTCATATGCAATTCTGTAAAAAGGACGATCCAGTATATTTTATTTTTATGAATTAAATATAAAAATTTGATGATCTAATTTGATTAATATTTTTTAATGGATAATAATTCGTGGTTTAACTTGATTTTATGTTAGACGGATAAACTTACATACCAAATTTTATCTAGTTTAAAATAAAAATTTTATTAATGTCTTTATTTAAAAATAATTAATTAAAAATATATTTTAAAAATTATATTATATTAATAAAATCAATTTTATTTTAAATATAATAATTTAACATATAAATTATAAAAAAATATTCATTTAATCCGAAGATAAGAGTTAACATAATGTTTTTCATTATTATCATTCTTTTTTTTAGTTATTTATTGATTAAAAAATAATAATTTATTTTAATCATTAAATCGTATAATAACTATTTTATATTTATTTTTAAAATAAGTTAATCCCTCATATTAATTTATAATATATATATTTTTTTAATAAAATAATATTAATTATTTTTGTTTTAAAAGTTATTATTACTTTATAAGATGTTGATCCATAAATCTACGAATTAGTATGATTTAAGCCTACGTAGGAAATAGAATAAATAGGTTGAATTAAAATAATTTTAATTAAATTTAGGTCACAAATAACCAATTAAGTCTATTTTAACATCTATAACTATCGTATTAATTATTTTGCCTATTCCTAACTTTTTTTCTTTTTTTATTGATTATTGATATAACCTAATTTTTATTTATATATGTTAGGGATGATGATGTAATAAATAATTAATCGTGTATATCAATTTTGATTAATGGTTTTTCTAATTTATATCAATAATTTCTTGTTAGTGAGGTCGTAAAGGATTGTAGATATTGTTGTAAGAACATCAGCTACTGGATTGTTGTACGTGAAATAGATTGGGGCAGTTTCTCAATTTATTTTCATGCTCATTCATTGGTATATTTATCAATAATTTTTTAATAATTATAAAATATATTATGATTAAGAGGTTATCAATCTATATAAGAATTTAAGTTTATAAAATTTGGAAAAGAGATTTTCTTAAGATTTTTTTTTAATTTTTAAAATAGCTTATAATTTGTAAATATAATTGTTGATTACCACACATATATCATTATTGGATTTTTTTTTAGGATATCCTATAAAAACATACTATAAAAAGATAATAATGATGAAACATGATTATAATCAATATAAGAAATTAACATTATATTTAATCAAAATCTCAAAATCTTTAATACATTGTGTTATGGTCTTTTATTTATATATATTAACTTTTTAATTTTTATTCGATGTTAGACTTAAACTTAAATTTAAATTTAACTCACATTTGATTTTTTTTTTTTCAAAAGCATAAGAGCTTGTTTGGCTACAATGAAATTGTTGACGAAAGTTAATTTTGGTAAAATAATTAATGTGTATTTTGTTTGCTTATGACTAAGGAGAAGAATTATTTTTGAAAAGTGACGAAGATCTTATTGAATAATTTGATAAGTTGAAGATTTTGTGTATTTGATAAAGTCAAAGACTACTTGGGTTAAAGGGAAGAGTGATTAGTGAGTCTGCATCTATACATATGTATAATCATTCATATCTCTTTGCTGCATGAGGTTTCATCATTTGAAAGAATTTGAAAATGCCTCTAAAGATGTTTTTAATCCGTTAAAAATCAAAGCAATCGGTTAAATTGTTTTTAAGAAATTGATTTAACTGATATTATATGAGTTTTATCAATTAAAATATTCTTAAAACTTACATGACAGATTTTTAACTGATAAGTTTTTGAAATAATTGATTAAAATTATTTAATACATTCACAGGAACTGTTTTAATAGATACACATTTGAATTAATCGATTATTTTCATTAAATGAGTTTTTTTTTTAAATCTACTGCCAGTGTTTTAACGGGTATAGATTCGAAATAATCGATTAAAATCACTTAAGATGTTTTGAAAAGTATTTTGGCAATATTTTAATCGATTAAATTGCGAAATAATCGATTAAAACCACTTGAAAAACTTTTTAATCGATGCAATTTCATATATGACCGATCAGAACAAGTTTTAATCGATGTAATCTAAAAAATGATCGATCAGAATTATTTTAATCGATTAAACTACGAAATAATCGATTAAAACAACTTAATGAACTTTTTACTAACTGTTTTAATCGATTAAAACTTGTTATTATCAGTTAAAATCACTTAGAAAGTTTTGTGAAAGTTTTTGGCATAATATTAATCGATTAAATTGTGAATTAATCGATTAAAAGAACTTAAGGGACTTTTTGTTAATTGTTTTAATTGATTAAAACGTTGTCGCATTAGTTAAAATAAATCTGGAAAATAATCAAGAACATTTTAACAGATTAAAATATTTGAAATAAATCTCTATATAAATAGATTTGATTCAAAGTTTCAAAATATACTTTTGAATAATCAATCAAGCAATCATAAGAGCTATTTTCAAGAAAGAATCGTGTAAGTTTTGTAGTGTTTTTGAAAGTTCTTTCTTTAGGTAATTTTTGCATTCTTTTGGTGAAGAAACTCATTCTGGAGAAATTGCATAATCCGGGTTTGATTGTTCTAGTTTCTTTTCCTTGTTTATTTACATTTCTTTATTGTATTGTGGGTGTCTGGAATTGTTGGGCACTGGTTCTGTAGCTGGAATTTGGATGCAAGTTGTTTCAAGAACTAGAACTTGGTTCTTGGGTGGTGAGTGTCTGGAATTGTTGGACACTGGTTCTGTAGCTGGAATTTGGCTGCAGGTTGGTACAAGAACTGAAACTTGATTCTTGGGTGGTGAGTGTCTGAAATTATTGGGCACTAGTTCTGTAGCTAGAATTTGGCTGCATGTTGGTTCTAGAACTGGAATTTGGTTCTTGGTGAAGGTTTAGGTGCAAGATCTGGAATTTGGGTCTTGTGGTAGATTGAGTATGTAATTGGAATCTGTAATCTGTAAAACATTCAATCTAGTGAAACTCAGCTCAAATTTGGCTGAGAACTGGACGTAGCCCTGAGATTGGGTGAATCAGTATAAATCTTGGTTGTATTTCCCTAAATCTTACTCTTTTTAATCCTGTTGGTGTCTTACTTTGAATAGCTTGATTGTCTTGATTCAAGAATTGATCAAAACTCTTAATATTTGAAATAAATAATTTGTAAATTGCAAAATTTTTTCAAAGATCAATTCACTCCCCTCTTAATCTTAGCCTCTATTTCTAACAATTTTTTTTGGTCTTTCTAGTCATACGAGGATTCATAGAGTTTAGTGATAAAGGTAATTATTATATTTTGTCTCTCTTAAACTCGTTGGTTTTTAGGTTAAGAGAAACAATAGAATTTTTTTATTAAAAATTAAGAGATACTAATTAAACTCTAAAAAATGGGTTTGTAAAATGCGATTTGAAGTTTATATTTATATTATAAAATTGGTATATAATTGGTAAAATGAGTTTGGAATTAAGGATTTAATGTTAGAATTGGGAATTTAATAGAGTTAGAGGATAGAGATTTAATTTAGAATTAGAATTTAATATACAATTAGGATTTAATTTAGAATTACATCCTTACAGAGTTAAATTTATAATTTTATTAATTTAGAATATAGAAAATGTTTTA